TTTAATTATATAAAAATACATATATAATTATTTCATTTCATTATCATAGTAAAAGGATAATGGTGCATACAAGGGATTCTTCATTTCAACAAAACATTTTATAAACTATGATAAGTATAGTTTCTGGGGCATTCACACTATTTTACCCTTTCGGGACAAAGAAATAATTATTCAAAGGTATAATTATTTTTACACCATGTAACCACTATTGGAAGGTCAAATCTTTCATTTACAAGAAAAATGGGTGTTCATTACACTAGACATAAACCTGTTAATACAAATTTTGTGAGACATACCTTCACCGTACTTACTAGAGTACATACTAAAGTTCCTAAATTATAACTAGAGTCTTGATAAGAGAGTGTGATACTTGTGTGTAGATCTATACGAAACTGACAATCTTGCACCTAAACTGTTAGCTACAGTTAGACCTACAGGTCTGTGGTGACAAATGTCTAACATTTTGACGCATGAAGAACGTCGTAGCAAGCCAACTGGTCTCTAGCATGGTTATAATAACTCACATAGGGTATTAACAATATGTTTGGTTTACGAGGCTAATTACACTATTTTCAATCAATTATATTTAAATGATAAAACTACACTATACTACTTTCCAGTAAAGTACTTATACATATCGGTCTTAGGGTATCTAAGACTACATTTCATTTAAAAGAAAATATTGGATTTTCTGGAAGTACACTCTATCAGTTTACAAGGAAACACGCTAAATTCAATCAGTTTTATATAATGATAGAACTGCATTATACAATTTTCCAGTACAACACTTATACATACCGGTCTTAAGGATTCTAAGACTACAGTTCATTAAAACAGAAGTATTGGATTTTCTGTAAGTACATTCTCTCATTTTACAAAGAAAAACGGCAGACATTTCTCAGAAAAAACGCTTATGAGCTCACCACCTTAATTTTTGACACTTTTCAAAACTACTTGTATTCTTAGGAAATCGGTAAAAAGGTACCCAAAAGGGTTTTGAAGATGGGGCGTAGAAGCCTCACATCATTTTTTTTATCATATGTATTTGGAAATCAAACAAACAACGATTTGAATACAATGTAAACTTATAATTTATCAATATGATGCTTGTATGGCTTTGATCACTCTTATTCATTTGTTATGATAATGTACATGAAGTCATCTGCCCGGAGATGTTTCCGCCATTCTCGGTTTGGGAGTGTGAAAATATATTTGTGTGTGTATGTATGTGTGTGTTTATATATATATATATATATATATATATATATATATATATATATATATATATATATATCAAATTCTTCCCGTCACCATCTATCCACCGCTAAACACAACCATCCACGATGGAAGGAATCATACATTATTCAAGGAAATCGATGGGATAAAGCACAACAGCGAGTTGAATTGGCCAAGCAAGAACTTGCTGAGATCGAAAAACAAGAAATGGAAAACATTAGTTGTTTGTTATTTGGTGTTACTTTCTGATATGTTGTTCATCTTGACCTAGACAATTTTCAGCTCAAATATGGAACGTCTGCAGCTTTTTGGCTTTGTCAAAGGTATTTCAAAAAGCTACTCCATTAACAAGTTCCAAGTGATGATTAAAACCTAACATATTCATGTTTTCGTTTGAAAGTTAATGCAGGTCTTGCTACAGTAGCAGGAAGACCACTAGTGGAGTTGGAAGTTGGTAACATCTTGTTGCATACTTTCAGTGCTGCAGTTTTTGTATCATAAAATCTTCTAATCATCTTGTTTGATGGCGTTGGTTTAGATTTCTGCTTTAAATTGGGGATTTGAAGTCCATTTCCATTTAAACCTTCAGTCTCTACTGCAAAAACAGATTGAAGTATCAGTTGTACCGTAAAACCTTATTATATATAAAAAAAATTATGAAATCATTCTTTTGATTCTTTCTAACATGGAGATATCCCATGAAGTTTGATGGGATTCCTAGTCCAAGCGAAAGAATCTCATTGAATCATACAACCAATCAAATTACAACATTAATATCTCATTAATAATAGGATTATATCTCACATCATATGAATGATTGTTGATTTCTTTCAAGGATTGTCCTAAATTAGAGCTAAAGCTGAGAAGCAGGGGACGAAGGAAGATGATGAACAGTAGAGATTACTTTCTTAACACAGTGGAAGATGTATAACACTGGAGAGATGGGCCCCAAATTTTGTATATGTGTCAGTCAAACCTGTTAAAACAAATAATGGGGACTAAAAAGATAGGTTGCTTACAATTTGGTTCCCACATAAAGCCTCAAAAATAGTTTATGGACTCAAAGGACCAACCCTAGAAATTTCATAGGGCATTTGTGTCATTTCCTCAATGCGATAATATGATAGTGTTATTAAAGGAATGTAATAATATGCTAATGAATTCAAGTGAATAGAAAGGGGACAAAATTTGGAAAATCATGAATTATTAGCATAATGTTGTAGTTTGAGACACGTATTTGAATTGTGTTATGAAAATATAATAATCTTTAATGCAATATATTTTCTAAAAATATCAAAGGAGATAAAAAAATTAAAATGGGTGATTGAAATGATCATATTTGACCTATTGAATTATTGTGATCTTGAAGATTGAGGCTAACTTACCTACATATATTTAGGAGTTAATCATACTTAAAAGTTTGATCTAATAAAAGGGAAATCTTTAATAAAGTCCCAAATTTTTGGGAAAAGTTACAGTTTTGTCCCAACATTTTTCTCTGCACAAAAAAACCTAGGAAACCGAATAAATTGAAAAATTTCGACCGTCTTTTGCTGGCAACCCTCATTTAGCCGGTTAAAATTGCTTATGCGGCCAAGAGTTGCTTATGTGGGTTCAATCGATCTCATATAGACCTTCATTTACCTCTCTTGTTTCACATTCTCCCTCCCCCTTAGTAAATTAGGGTTTTTACCCCCATGTTGTTGAAATCATGGAGGACGTCCATGATTTTGATCCAATAGATGTGGACTTGGATGTGTACTTCAAAAAGAAACAAGTTTCTAGATGCTAATAGGAAGAAGACTATGAAGAGGCAGTAGATGATGCTCAAACTAGAATCAATAAAGAAGACTCGGACGAAGATTATCTGGAAGGTAGTAACGAGGAAGATCGTGATAAGGAATTTGAGTATTTTACCCGCAACCCAAAAGTGAAATGGAATAAGATGATACCAACGCTTGGTGAAAGGTATGAATCCCCACATAAACTAAAATTGTGCTTAACCAACTATGATGTTAGTAAGGGTTTTTAAATTCGTTTCATAAAATGTGATAGAGTTAGACTGGTGGCAATATGTGGAAGTGATCCAAAGAAGTGCCCATTCGTGGTTAGGGCTTCTTGGATGAGTATTGAAAGGTCATTCTAAGTCAAAAAGATGATAGACATTCATAAATGTGTTAGGAATTTTAACATCTCAAGGCTTATGGGTCCTACTTAGTTAGCGAGGAAAATTATGAAGGAGTTGATTAGGAAACCTAATTTAAAATGCAAGGATATGCAGGTAATTATACAAAGTAAATTTCATGGTCAGAGTTTAATAGATCAAGGATGAGGCATTGTTATTAATTCATGGGAAATTGAGTGACCACTATGCAAGAGTTTAGGATTATGGGCATGAGCTAATGAGATCCAGTCTAGAAAACATAGTTAGGATTACAGTTATCATAAACCATGATAATACCAGAACATTTCATAGATTCTACATTTTCTTTAAACCAATAAGATAGGGGTGGAAAAGAGGATGTCGAAGGGTGATAGGATCGGATGGTTCTTTTTTTAAGGGACAATGTAAGGGTGAGTTATTAACTGCAATAGGTATGGATGCCAACAATCAGGTGTATCATATAGCTTGGGGAGTTGTTGATGTAGAGAACAAGAACAACTGGAAATGGTTCCTAGATTTGGTTAATGATGATCTTGGATTTCAGGGTGGAAGGGGTGTGTGTGTAATCAGTCACCAACATAAGGTTAAGTACCTATATCTTTATTTTTCATTACTTGAAATTTATTTACAATAGTGTGTGTTGTTTCTAATTAACTTTTTTTCATGTTCTAGGGTCTTGTTGAAGGTAATAAGTAAATTCTACCTTATATTGAGCACAGGCAATGTGGCAGGCATATCTATGCCAATTTCAGAAAAGTTTATAGCGGAGAGGAGTTCAGAAACATGTTTTAGGAAGCTACAAAATCTACCACATAAGAAGATTTCAAGTTTAATATGGAAAGGTTCGGGAAAAAATTTATATTGCTTATGATCATCTCATGGAAAGGGAACCAACTTCATGGTGCACGGCTTACTTCATGGTGCAGGGCTTATAGATTCTATAGACTATGCTTGAAGATATTAGGCTTTACATGATCGAAAGGGGTTACAATCTGAAACAAGAGGCTGAAAACTAGGTTGGTGAATTTTTTCCTGCAGCAGTAACAAATATGAAAGAATTTGGAGAAGACATTAAGTAAGCATTTACAATGGTTTTGTTTTTACATGTTTATATTTGTATCTTATGTTCTCTCTTATGTGTTTGCAGAAGTTAATATGTAATTCCAAGTGGTGTGAATGAATATGAAGGAATGGGTTTCAAAACTATGGAGTTGACATGAAGTTAAAATGTTGTGCTTGTAGATTATGGGAGCTTTCAGGTTTACCTTGTGTGCATGCACAAGTGGCAATTTTACACCAATAAAGATACAGTTAACTTCAAAAGTAGTTGGTTCAACAAGAATATTTACAAAATCAGAACACGCTACCAGTTAATGGAAGTAACTTATGGGAAGAAACAGTTACACCAAGCCCCTTCCACCCATTGAAAAGAGGATGTCAAGACGGCCAAATGTTAAAAGAATAAGACATGTTTCAGAAAATCAAGACAAGTACTCTCAAGTTTCAAGCAAGGGTAGAACTGTCCGATGTAAAAATAATGGGACGTAATAAAAAATCATGCAAGAATCCTACATCAGTTCTTGAACCTTAATCTAAAAAAATGGGTAGGCCTAGGTTGGAACTTGAATTGCTTAATTGTTCAGGAACTAAAAGAGTATCCGGTGGTGGTGGACGGGGTAAGGGATATGGTGGAAGAGGATCTAGTGGTAGGGGAAGAAATAGAGGTGGTGGTAGGGGATCTGGTGGAAGAGGATTTAGTGAAAAGGGAAATAGAGGTGGGGATAGGGGATCTGGTGAAGGAGCCCAAATAGAACATTGTGAGGGTACTTCTGAGTTTCCTAAATGTTGGCCTAAAAATGTTGTCATTCCAAATGTTGAGAGTGAAAATGATGTGAGTCCATATGTTCACAATGATATAAGGATATCAATTTACAACCTAATGGAATCAAAATATACAATAGAAGAGATCATGGATGTTCTTGGAATCAGTGAAGCAAAAATAGAACAATTTGAAGATGTGGATGTTAATATGTCACAGGTATGCTTTCTCATTGTTCATTTTGTGATGCTAAATCTTGTTAATTGGCCTTTTTGTTATGCTTGTTATAGGTTGTTGGGATTGCTATCCAAATAACAATTAAAGAACTCCCTATAACTCAAGCACTTGGAGATGAGGAAAGGATGAATGAGGAGGATGGCATAGATGAGTAGGTGATGAGTGAAGTAATGATGAATAAGGAAGAAATAGATGAGTATGGGATGGGTGGTGAAGGGATGAATAAGGGGGGCATGGATGAGCAAGGGATGAATGAGGAAAGGATGGATGGTGCGGGAGAAATACCTATCACAAAGCAATTGAATCAAGTCAACAGGAGGTCTGCAAAGAGGAGCAAAGTGAATCAAGTCATAAAGAGGAAACCTTCAAATAGGATAGCAGAGATCAAGTTGAAAAATGTGGTAGCTGTCAAGAATGGAAGGGGGATGAGTTCATCCAACCCCTTAGTCTAGAATTGGGTGTTTCTAATCCCTAGTTTTTTAAGAACATGTATAAAAGTTTTGGGTTTGGGGAAATGTTGATAGCCCTTTTTATTGATAACCCTCTATTGTTGATAGCCCCTTTTGTTTACAGCCATATAAACTATAGGCTTTGGGCCCCTTGATCATGTTTTTGGGCATTTACACAACTAACCATAAAACTTGTTTTGGCTTTGGTTAGTATTACTACATGTGTAACGTCCCAAAAATTTCATTTGAAAGATATTGTAAAAACTATAATCATCAATAATTAATAAGAAACCAACTGTCATGTGTCTCATAAGATCAAATAAAACATTGTATCAAAAACAAATGATAAAATATCAGTCTCAAACAATCCCAGGCTAAATACTGTAGTGTGTGACATGCGATCACCCCGAGCTATTCCCCTTGCTACCGGAAGTACCTGAAACCAAAACTGAGAATTGTAAGCGCGAAGCTTAGTGAGCTCCCCCCCCCCCCCCCCCCCCAACTACCACATACCATACAATAACACATGTAACATATACTGGACCTTGCCCACTGCATCGCACCCCGCCCGGCATCAGACCGAAGTCCGGCATAAATTGGGCCCCACCCACTGCATCGCACCCCACCCAGCATCGGACCAAAGTCCGAAATAACTTGGGACCCCTCCCACTGCATCGCGCCCCGCCTGGCATCAAATAGAAGTCCGGTATAAACTAAACATAACGTAAACATAAACATATAACATAATCACATATACTGCATCGGGATAACCTCGGCATCGGGCTTACCCCAACATATTGCAACTACATAAACGCACCGGCATTGGCGCCTTAGACTCGTTCCTACTGGAGGAAAAAACTTACCTCGTATGACTGACTGTTATAAATTTGGGTGAGAAATCCTTGTATGCTGCTTCGGCGGCTCTCCGGCTATAAATTCCATAAGGACACTTACTCAAAAATTGATAACTATTCATAGGGTAAAATGGCCATTTTACCCCAGTTCAAAGTCAACATCCTGGTCAAAGTCAACCTTCCAGGTTAACCAAACTAATCGAGTCAGCCTTGTGACTAGACGAGTCCTATTACTCAGAACCATGGAATCGCGACTAGACTCGTCGAGTCACCCCATGACTCGTCAAGTTTCCAAACTACTTTTCATCGCGATTTGTCGAACTGACTCGTCGAGTCATCCTTAGACTCGCCGAGTCTTGGCATAATCAGAAAAGGGACAAGATGCTCCTACTCGCCAAGTTCCTTAATGAACTCTCCGAGTCTTATGAACATCATCGAGGTTTCTACATCAGATTCACCGAGTCCCCTTATGAACTCGTCGAGTCCCTTTCCGATCTAACCTAGATAACTGGTTTCACACTTCTACAGCTCCAAAATACAGATCTAGGTTGTTTCCATCGTCCATTTTTATAAATTTGGAGACTTGATGGCTTTGCACACCTCAAATGGACCCAAACTCAAGTTATAGCAACCTACTTCCATGAACATGACCATGGCTAGGATGAAAATGGGTTCAAGAATCCTTTTATGACTCTAGAGGCTAAACATCATAGGAAAAAGGGATTTCTTTGCATACAACCCGAGAGAAGCAACTTATCCTACTCAAAAGGGTCAAAAAGTCCCATAAAACATCATTAGAGGAGATCTAAGCTATGGGCTATCAATCTAAGAGATTTTTACCTCAAAAAGCTGCCAAAGATGAATGCACTCCTGGATCTTGATCATCTTCCCCAAGCTTGCTAGCTCCAAGCTCTTCCAACTATCTCCAAAACACAAAAACACACTCAAAATATCAAGGGTAAAGCTCTCAATCAAATTAGGGTTTTTGGAGGATAATGAGGTTGGTAAGGGAGGCCCAAAGGGGGGTTTAAGTGGTTTAAATAGGGTGCACAATCCCAAAAATAGGGCTTCCTCGTGGCAAACCTACTCATCGATTCCATTCTTCGACTCGCTGAGTAGACTCTTTAAATCTCGCATCCTTGCAGGCATCTACTCGACAAGTTAGGGCTACCAACTCGTCGAGTAGCTCAAAATAAATACTTGAATTATTAAATAATTGCATATCAGGAATCGGGGCATTACAAATCTCCCCCACTTGTCTTAGACTTCGTCCTCGAGATCTACTATGTCTGAAAACAAATTTGGGTAATGCTCCTTCATTTCCTCCTCGGGCTTCCACGTCCACTCTGAACCCTTATGGTGTTGCCACTGCACCTTCACTAGCTCGACCCACTTGTTCCTCATCTCCTTTGTCTTGCGATCTAAGATCGCCATATTTCTCTCTATGTAATTCAGGCTATCATCAATCTAAATATCCTCTATGGGTACTACTGCTGATCATCTACCAATCACTTCCAGAGCTGGGAAACGTCGAATGTGATGTGGATCTGGTTGAGCTCTGCTGGAAGGTCTAACCGGTAAGCAACCCGACCCACCCGGGCTAAAACGTGCCAATGAATCTAGGGCCCAGCTTGCCCCGCTTCTGAAACCTAATAACACCCTTCCACGGTGACACTTTCAGGAGGACCATGTCGCCCACTTGAAACACCAAATCCGAACGACACTTGTCAGCGTAGCTCTTCTGTCGGCTCTAAGCAGTCTGGAGCCTGCTCTGGACCTACTGGATTTGCTCTATGGTCTTGAGTACTACCTTTGTACTCCCCATTACTCTCTAACCGACCTCACCCCAACAGATCAAGGTCCTACACTTTCTCCCGTAGAGCATCTCGAAGGGAGGTCGGTCTATACTAGAGTGGTAGTTGTTGTTATACGAAAATTCAGCTAACGGAAGATACGTATCCTAACTGCCATCGAAGTCTATCACGCATGCTCGAAGCATGTCCTTAAGAGTCTGAATTGTCTTCTCACTCTGTCCATCCGTCTAAGGGTGGAAATCGGTGCTTAAAAGGAGACGAGTACCCATCTCGTCGTGAAACCATCTCCAAAACCTGTAAGTAAAATGTACATCTCGGTCTAACACCACCAAGGCAGGCACTCTGTGACGTGCCACTATTGCCCGCACATAAATCTCGGCTAACTTCTCGGCCGAGATGCTCTCCTAGATCGATATAAAGTGCGCGCTCTTGGTCAACCGATCCATGATGACCCATATAGAATCAACCCCACGTGCGGTCCTAGGAAGCTTAGTGATAAAATCCATAGTAATATCCTTCCACTTCCACACGGGGATGTCCAATGTCTGCATCTTGCCATGCGGCCTCTGGTGCTTGACCTTCCTGCAGGTCAGGCATCTCTCGACGTACCAGGCGACGTCCCGTTTTATATAGGGCCACCAGTAGTCTGGGCGAAGATCCTGGTACATCTTCATCACTCCTGGATGGATGGAGAACCTGTACTTGTGGGCCTCTTCCATCAATACCTTCCATACTCCGCCCCAGTACGGCACCCAGACTCTCCCATGCAGGGTCAACAGTCTTCTGTTGTCATAATCGAAGGAGGCCACTTGGCCTGTAATCCTCTCACACTTCTGGCGCTCCCTCTTCAAGCCCTCGACCTTTGCCTATCGGATCTGCTCTAGCAGTGGAGTAATCACTGTCATCCTTAAACAGATATCCCGGATCAGGGCTGCTACCGTCATGCGGCTCAGGGCATCGGCCACTACGTTGGCCTTTCCCGGGTGGTAAAGGATCTCACAATCGTAATCCTTAACCATACGCTGCCTCATGTTCAAATTCGGCTGCTCCATGAGGTACCTCAAACTCTTTTGATCCATGTAAATAGTACATCGGACCCTGTAGAGGTAATGCCGCCAAATCTTGAGGGCGAACACCACCACCCTAACTCCAAATCATGCGTCGGATAGTTAGCCTCGTGAGGCTTCAACTATCTCAAGGCATAAACTACCACATGCCCCCGCTGCATCAACACTGCTCCCATACATGTGATCGAAGCATCACAGTAAACTATGAAGTCACACTTGGAGAAATTCGCGTAATATCTCTCCATCCTCAGTGTCTATAGCACCTCTCTCAGGTGCTCCTCGTGTTGCTCCTGAGTCTTGGAATAAACCAAGATGTCATCAATGAATACTATCACAAATTGATCCAACATCGGTATGCACACGTGGTTCATGAGGTACATGAACGCGGCTGGAGCATTGGTGAGTCCAAACGGCATCACCACAAACTCATAATAACCATAGCGGGTCCTAAAGGCAGTCTTCTGCACATCCTCATCTCTAGCCCACATTTGGCAATATCCGGACCGTAGATCAATCTTGGAGAACCAAGATGCTCCCTAAATCTGGTCAAACAAATCATATATCCTCGGTAGCGAGTAACGACTCTTCATTGTTACCTTATTCAACTCCCAATAATCTATGCACATGCGATGCGACCCATCCTTCTTCTTCACAAATAGGATCAGGGCTCCCATGGCGAACTGCTCAGCCTGACGAAACCCTTTTCTAGCAGCTCTTGCAGCTGTGTAGACAATTCCTGCATCTCTGGAGGAGCCAACCGATATGGTGCCTTGGCTATCGGAGCCGCACCAGGGACCAAGTCAATCCGAAAATCAACCTGTCTCTCTAGAGGTATCCCAGGTAAATTATCTAGAAATACATCTGGGTACTCTTGCACCACTGGTACATCATCCACTGTCGCCTTACCCTTATCCCGGGTATCCACGACATAGGCAATGTATCCTGCACAACCCTGCTGAAAGTAGCGTCTC